AAACAGAAAGAAAACGAAAAGGACAGAGGGCTGAAAAAAGGACAGAAGCTTTGAACATTTGAACGAGCTACTGTGACTGAAGAACAAATATTGACAGAGCTTCAGCCACAATGAGGGACCCTGCGAACACGATGGCCACTACAAAAGTCTTCCCCCAGTCCAGCAACCAAGTCTTGCTGGAGATGCTGGAGCTGCGAGTTGTACAGATTGTACAGGTCTTGTCACACAGGAAGAAGAGACCGTTGAAGCTGGGCCAAAGCCATCCGAAAACCAAACCGGCCGAAACGAGGACGTAGATCAGCAAAACATCGGCGTCTGCACCTGCTCTCGAAATTGAAAGAAGAAGTTCCAAACGATATGACACAGCACTTGACACCATAAAGGCCACATAGGTCCAAGAAAGATGGGGCGAGGGCAACAAATCACAGAGCTCTTCACGGAGTGGCCCTCGCACAAACTGGGTGAAGGCCTCCTTGCTGCCGTACCACGAATCGATTGCACCGTGGATAAAGGCATTGTCAAAGTCGGAAACACATGACACCTTCTCCTCAGTCCGCAGACTCAGTTGCATAATATGTCGCAACTTCATGCAGAGCTTGCATATTATGCATTGCATATGCACAAGTTCCACAAGTTCCACAAGTTGCAATCCTTTGTGCCTTCCAACTTTGCACAATGGAAAAAAAATCTTGGCACAAGTGTTTCGACATTCATGATTCAACACGTCGAAAAAGAGCCTTTTAAACAGTCATAAATGTGTCATAAACGTGTCATAAATGTGTCATAAACGTTCAAACGGTTTGGGAATTTGGGTTGTGCCAAGCTGCCAGGTCGAAGGATTTCAAGTCGTCCATCAGCTGCGTCTTCTCCCCATAGTTCCGACGTGTTACATGTACCATGCACATGACTAAAGGGATCATGAGAAGGCTGAGAAGGCTGACCAACTGCAGATTTCCGGACCTCACAGCTGGTGAAGACGTGAAGAGTTTTGTCATCGGGTTGTGAGATGTGAAAAGCCAGATCAAAAAGATCAGATCAAAACTCACCAAAAGTCGCGACTTGACGACTTGGTTTTACAATGACGTTTCATCACGTTTCCCAATGACCATTTTGCCGAGTGGCCGGAAATCTGAATCGAAGCTGACCACGGCCCACCGAATGAGTGAGAGCACAAACAGAATGCATGCTCCAACAAGAACCGAACGTTCTAAGAACCTGCATGCTCTGCTCTGTTGTCACATGTTCTCATCATGCTCATCATGCTTGCGATCGGTTCAAAATGTTCAAAGCGAAGGATGGGATTTGGGATTTCGATGGATTTTTTGGCCCAAAAACACCCCATTTGACCATTTGTTTGATCTCCTAAAAATCCCAAAACAGCAAAAAGGAAAAGAGTGAAATTTTGGAAATCCAAGAAAGATGGGCAAAACTCGAGAGACAGCGGCAGGAATTTGATCTTCCCAGTTGGGTTGGAGTTGCGAAATGCCACGAGCTCAAACAAGCACCACAATGAACCAAAATATGGTGGCGAGTACAAAACACGAAGCTCCTTTGATACTGAGAGACAGCCCCCGATGCTGTAAATCCCACGCTGCAGCAGCTCATTGTCTGATTGATGAATGCTCGTCATGTCCAAAAAGCAGATCTGCCGTCGCAAGGACAAATAAGGTGACGAGCAAACACCAAGAATCATTGAGAACCATCCAGCAATGATGACCCATGGACTGATCGGCGCGTCGTATTCCACATCTGCAATCCTAATGCTCGCGATGGTGAACGGCGGTATGATGTCAAGCTACTCCTTGATCCGGTGCCGGTGCAGGCGAAACGGCGAAACGGCGAAACAAAAGCAGTCCACTGTGCCCCAAAGCTGACCAGGCTGACCCTCGAAAGTATCGGATCTTTTGGGGTAAAGAAAAGATTTGCCACAATTCTGTAGGAATTTTGCCCAGTTTCCAAACACAGGATGAACGCCACACCACACAACCAACCAAGCAATCCATGAAGCCTACCTGATTGCCTTGGTGCACAAGTGGTGCACAAGTGGTGCACAAGTGGTGCACAAGTGGTGCACAAGTGGTGCACAAGTGGTGCACAAGGGTTCTTCTCAACTTTCTCAACTTCTGAACTTCTCATACTTCTCAACTTTTCCTTGTAGGAATTTGAAGTATCTTTCAAATCATTTCGAAACAAGAAACAATGAAACCGTGATGATTTACCAACGAAATTCCATAAGTGCCATGAAGAAACCCATGAAGCCTTTCTGACGGGTTGCATGACCAAGGACAGAATCTTCCCTCTGCCCGGAGTTCTCCAAGTGTGAGATATGAAGAAATCAAAGCCGGCGACCTTTTGCGAACGCTTCCACACTTCTGCTCCACGGGCTGTGTGCCGAAAGAGGCCTGAAATGCTCCAAAGCTGGAGGTTCCAAAAGGATTTATACGCCTCTTTCGTGCAAAATTAAATCAAAAGATTGATCTTTGACAGAAGCAGAAATAAACAATGGCAGCACCAATTCCCTAGGTATATCATGGTATATCAATGATGCATAATTTGTATATCAAAGGTATATCTCAGTATTATATCTCAGTTGTATCATTTTGCTGAGGCACTGGGCGAAAGCCAAAGACGGGGTTGCTGGAGAACTTTGTGGAACGGGATGCCACGGAGGATCTCAGTATCCACCTGCAAGGTGAACTCCATCATGGTCGTCACAGCCAAAAAAAGTTCAAACTTCAAACACACATTCGAACACATTCAATCCACGTTCAATCCAAAATATGCCAAAATGCAAATAATATCAAATAATGGTGCAAAGCTTTGGCATTTTGGCACCTCTAGATGTTTTATTTGCATCAACTTCGGCTGCTTGGGTGTTGTGGAGGGGTTCGAGAACACCCGCTCCAGTGCCCAAGAAAAATTGGAGAACGACGTCGACACCTGGCGCAAGACAAGACACGAGACCACAGCTCGACAAGAGACTTCAGACATCTTCAGACATCTTCAGACATCTTCAGACACTCCATGGAAACTTTTGAGGAGACTCTGACACGGTGACAGCAAAATCCTGAAAACAAATGCTACAAAACATTGCGAATGTGAACAAAAAAACGAAAAGCATCAGAAAAGCATCAGAAAAGCATCAGAAAAGCATCAGAAAAGCATCAAAGTTGAGCTGATTTGTTTTTTTCAAAACTTGTTCAGCTGCGTTGCCAGGGAGGCCTGGGATTTGGACCCACACGTCACACAGGCGTTTCGGATCTCAGACAGGTCGTCTTCGTTTTGTATTCCGAGTCCGTCTGTCCTCGTTCCGTCCATGGATTCCATGGCTGCCGGACTTGATGTCCAGAGGATGTCCAGATTGCTTTAGGCTTTCGTTCATTTTCATCTGTTTTCCTCTGTCTTCCTCTGTTTTCATGTCCTGAAATTCAGGTGTGTTTTGCTTCTAAATATGTTGGCACGAGCAAACAAACCATGACCCATGACAAAATTTCGCACCCGCGAGCTGTGGGGGAAAAACGAGCCGTTGGAATGGCATGGAAAGAGGTTGTGCCATGTTTCAGACGTGGACAGGACCAGGCTTGATTCATGTCTTTCCATCAGCAAATGGTGGCTGACCACAAAATGTTTGACTCCTGGGGCTCCTCTAGTTGGAATTTCTAGCACCCACAAGATGCAAAATACCTTACTAAACAGCCTGAACTTCAAATATGTATAATATGTCAAATGTCCTAAGCCAAGCTAGTCTGTCTGTGCCATTGGACAAGTCTTAAGCTATCGGACGAATCGAAATAGCTGCAACCAATGATGAGGGCCTGGCGTCGCGGCGTCGAAACGAACAGAGTGGATCAACATCGACAAATCGACACAGACGAAAATCAGCGCCGGGGCTGTGCAGTGGCTGTGCAGCTGTGCCTTGCGATTCTTGATGTCAGGCCTTGGTCATCCAAATTGTACCGTTGCAGCTGATTACACACAACAAATTGATACAAATTGCAGAGTCTGCATAGTCTGCATAGTCTGCATAGTCTGCATAGTCTAGTCTCATTATACGGTCACGATGGGTACAATGGTTACAATGGTTTCTTGGAATCTTCATCTAAATCGGAAATGTGAAAGCAAACTCCATGAGGATATCACGGAAGTGGTAAAGCTGATTGCACCATGCCACGCAACGCCGCCGGCACTGAGCGCACCTGGCATTGAGATACAATACGATACAATTGCAAAGACTTTGATTTGACAAATTGAATGCTTTCTTTCGACCTTTCAGCTCACGAACCGCTGGTGTTTCTTTCTGTCAAAAAGTAGTCACAACTTGGATGCCATGTTTTTCACAAATTGCGCTGCTAAGAATGCATTTGACAAAATTTGAAAACTGCATTGTTAATTCCGCTGCGTCTTGTGCATCCGCCGCATCCGTATCTGCCTGCTCAAAAGGGCGCAGCGCAGAGACCTAAGCAGCTTCAGCACAATGCGGAGCTCACAAATTGTGCTCACAATGCAGCACTGCAACAGTGCGAGGATCATGATCTGAAGAGTATGAGTATGCAACACTCATCAACACTGCAACACAAGGAGCTTTCTCCAAGAGTCTTTGCTCATCTTGGCAAATATCGATCCATATCCAGTTTTGATCAAACATGGTCGTAGGATGTCATAGGATGTCATAGGAAAATTGATAGCATAAGTATCTAATAAGATGAATTAAGATGTTACATTTGGATTTTGACATCTTGACATGTTGGTGCTCACCCTGTTGCTATCCATGTCACCAGATGCATCTCCCAGGAATCCCGGCAGGTTGCGTTGGTCGTCCCTGCATTGCCTGCGGTTTTGATGAGATTTCTCAACGTCCCATGCCTAGTTCAGTCTCACCACGTTGGCGTTCATGCAGATGGTGACCCCTCTGGATGAACACAGGCAACGTCCCAAGTAGACCAATGGAGCAACATAGACCAACATAAACCAACATAGACCAACTAAACTCCATTGCTGTCAGGTGTGTCAGGTGTGTCAGGTGTGTCAGGTGTGTCAGGTGTGTCAGGTGACTCCTTTTCTGGAGTTGAATGAGTCCCAGGCGACGCCGTCTGCAGAGGTCTTTTTCTATCCTTTTCTCTGCGACTCCGACCGCCAAGTTGGCTCCAGAAATCCTCAAAGCCTCGATAGCTCGAGACGCTGACGCATGATCCTTCGGGTAGTTCAAGGCCTTCAAGGCCGTCAAGGTCTTCCGGTACAGGTCCTTCTGAATTTGGAGCCTAAGAAGAGCCACTGCCGAAAAAATCAACAAGAGATACCCAAACAGATATGCAGTGATAAATGATTTATACAGCTATCTATACAGCTATTTTCGCCTCCATGTATGTTCCCAGATGGACATGGAGAACTCATGAGAACTGTGTGCTGAAGCCAAGCGGCTTCACCTTCATCGTCGTCGTCCATGAGAACTTGTTTCATGGCGAAGATGACGGTCTGACGGTCCAAGAATCCACGCAGCCGCATATCATGCAGCAACCTTAAAACCACATGCCTCAGCGGACAGCACTGGACAGCACTGGAACTAACACATTCAAACCCAAAGAACGCTTGTTGACACAAAGATTAAACTATATTGAACGTATCTGCTACCTAGTTTATCCCTTGTCACCAAAAAAAATGAGAAAAACTGGCCAGAATGGGCAAGTTGGTGCCAAAATGTGCCAAGTACCATGGATGTTCTCTGCTCCCTTCCATGACCACGTGGTAGACAGCTGGAGTGGCTATCTGATTTGTCAAGGCCTTGCTGGGAAGCCAGTTAGATTGTCAACCCTGGTGGCGTCACGAATGCCCTCCAGGCATCAAACGTGAAATAGGAGAAATTGAAAAATATATATATATACTGTATGTATGTATGTATATATATATATAACTATATATTTATATAGTCATAATCATAATTGTAATTATGACCACCTGAGAAGGGGTGGAACGAAAGCCAGCGGTTGCTTTTTGACTCGCGCGGGGGCGCGTGAAACTCCACCTCATCCATATGGCATGGCTCAAACATGAAGCGCCCCAACATCAACAATTGCTATCGGGTCATAATTTTCCAATCATTAAATGGACCTTTTTAGGGTAAACTCCACGATTTTGTAACTTCTATATCCAAATATGTTTCCTACAATGTACTGCGGCATTGTGAAAAGTTCTATCTCAAGTTCCGTAAATCCGCCTTTGGTTGCTCATTTATCTTAAAACAGCGCAAGTTTGCTCCCACCTATTGTAGATAAATAATACCCGCTTTTTTGTGTGAACAGTGGTCATGTGACCTCTCAAAGTCTAAATTGTTTTCTCCCCAGCGTGGTCCATGCTTCTCCGCGAAGTTCCGCAACATTTTGGCCGTACGGTGAGAAATCAAAACATAGCTCTACTCGCAAAATGGGCAGTGCAAACCCAAGACAATATTATAACATACGTAAGAAAGGGTATAAGAACGAATGAAAATCGAGGAAAACAATGCAAAACCCACGGGAAATATAGAACAGTGGCGAACATGCAGTCCAAATCAAAAGTATATATATTTAGGCCATTTACAGACCTGGGTACCCCCCCCCCCCCCCCAAGGGTCTGGAAAATAGGTATTTTACAGGAAATGTCGCGGAATAGCATCATCCCTGACATCGATAGAGATAATTGTTTGGCATCCCGGAAAATCTTCTCAGCTATCACACTCGCCAAACATCCCTTTTAAAAGGCACACATACTATCACGGACGTACAGATGCATATCATTCCCGTCATTGCCATTAGAAGATTCAAATTCTTTCTCGATGTTTTAGTACAAGATTCACTTTTAGTTCTGTTTCAGCCTTCTCAGTACCGCCTCTTACAATGATATTACAGCATTTGTCTCCTAACCTAGGTGGCTCCTGGGCGCAATCTTCATTCCAATGCTTTGTGACAATAACCAGAGGCCTGGAGCCTATGCATCACTTGACAGTCGGCTCAGTTCTAAACCGGAAAGACTATTCCTTCCGTTTACCAGTAGATCGTTTTTGTAGTTCTTATCACAAAACTACCAGAATCAGGGAGGCACCAAAAAACGTCAAACAGCTTTAAGCATTATAAATACTCTAATCTGCAGATTGTATTTATTTTTCTTACTCTGTGAACGAAATCACACTTTTCTAACTTCACACAGATTACCATGAAACCAATTTTCCCATGCAACTCCTAAAATCTTACAACTCATACATCTTTTTTCCTATACCATCCGCATCTTGCTCCAAGGTTTCATGGCAATGTCTTGTACGCGAGTCAGCCACTATTTCCTATCACCAAACTACATTGCTCATCATCTAACATTATCTACAGAAACCCAATCGGATTTCCTGCTCAACGTTTCCGCTCGTTGACATTGTCTTGGTTTTCACTACATTTTTTACAGCATTTTTTAGTTATAACATTTTCCTAGGTTTTCACTGTATTTTTCTAACATGTTACATGCCTCCTAGCATGTTCACGCGTGTCCTCCATGTTGTACTGTTTTCTACATCGTTTCCTCTAGTTGTTACAAGCATTTCCTAGCTTGTACATCGTTTTCCTAATATTGTCACAACTTTTCTTCCAGTTTCCACTGCTTTTTCTACCGTTTCCTGTGGTTACTTTCTTCTCTTTTGTAGGTTTTCACTGTGTTTTGTCCAGCTTTTTTTATTACATGCTTCCTACCATTTTCGCCGCTTCCCTCTATGGCTTTTTGTACCATTTCCTCTCGTTTCCTGCATTTCATGCATTGTCAATATATTTTTCCAAGAGTTTTACCCGTCTCCTTCAGTTTCCGATCGTTTTTGCACCATTTCCTCTGGTTGTTATCGCATTTTCCTGCACTTTCACTGTCTTTTTCCAACATGTTTACTGCATCGTCATAGTTTGTTCCTAGCAGTCACTCCGGTTTCCTCCATGTTCCAACAGATTTTGCATGGTTTGTTCCTAGCATTTTCCTCTGATCGTTATCATGTTTTCCTCAAGTTTCATTGTATTTTCCAATACATCCTCTTCGTGGGTTTTCAATATGTTTTGTCCAGCATTTTTTTACTACATGTTTCCTATCATTTTCACCTCTTTCCTCCATTGGTTTTTACACCATTTCCTCTGGTTTCCTGCATTTTCATACCTTTTCAATATTAATATTAATCCAAGAGTTTTACCTGTCTCCTTCATTTTCCGATCCTTTTTGCACCATTTCCTCTCGTTGTTATCACATTTTCCTGCACTTTCACTGTATTTTTCCAGCATGTTTACTGTATCGTCATGGTTTGCGCCTAGCATCCGCTCCGGTTTCCTCCATTTTCCAATGGATTTTCCATGGTTTGTTCCTAGCATTCGCTCCGTTTTCGTCCGTTTTCCAGGGGATTCTGTACGATTTCCTCTGATCGTTATCATGTTTTCCTGCAATTTCATTGTATTTTCCAATACATCCTCATGGTCTCTCCGGCCACCAAAAAGGCGGACCTAGGGAGAATCGATACCCCACCGTCAGCAAATTGCCGAGTGGTACATAATCCAGCAAAATGCTCCGTTTTCTCGCGCTCAACACAGGGGCACGGCGAGATTTCGTTCCCTTTCGGCAACCACCCCCCCCCCACACCCCCTATTCTCACTTCGTTCGCAAACAGCAACTAGCCAGCTAGCTGGCTTTCGTAATAATATATCACATGTTATCACTGGTAAATCATCTACAAAGTGCAACTTTCCTATCGCCTGTTCTTAGATTGCCAGATTCTGATGGCAAATCCCCAATATTTGTGGGTTAAAACGGTTCAAAATAATTTTCTGTACCATGTGCAGTGTACCATGTGCAGTGACATGCCACGCCTTCTCAAGGACCAAAAGAACGTGTTGCCATTTCTTGGACAGATTGCAAGCGTGCATGGCTATGAGAAAGCTCTTCTCATTGGAATCTCCATTCATTCCATTCATTCCATGGCTTTCTTTACGCCCTATGACGTTCAGGTCATTCAGGTCATTCAGAATTTGCAAGGTTTTGTCCCACTGAAAGCCCTTGGCACAAGCGTACATTAAGGCATTGTATGCCACAAGATCGGGCTGAAAGTTCTGAAATTTGCTGAAAAGATGAACAGCGCGTTGCCAATCGCCATCGTTGGACATCAGCACTGAAGTGAAGGTTGTGGCATCAGGCTTCAGATATGAAAAAAGCTTCACGATCTCCGAGTTCGACCTTGAAGGATTCCCGGAATTCTGCGGAGTCCCCGTCCCCATCTGGCTTAGAAGTTGCAACGATTGAGGCCACTCGGCCGCGCACGCCACCATTGCTGCGTTCAAAGTGTTCAGTGTCGGTTCCAAGGCCAACTGCAACGCATCGAGCAGCAACTGAACACTTCGCTGCCACTGCTCCCGTACAGCAGAAATGCACGAGTTTTGCAGCACCATCTGCGCTAGGGTTTTTGAATGTGCTTCAGTAAGATGAGATAGAGCACTAGTCCACTCACATGCACAAATCACAGAGCTATACGTGATGGCATCCCATTGCATTCCACTCCACTGCATCAATTCCATCGCTGCTAACCACTGGTTTCCTATGGCACAAGCATCCATAGCTGCATTGATTGATACTAGAGTTGGCTGCATTCGCAAGGACTCCATATCATAAAGAAGGAACAAGGCACCCTGCCAATCTCCACATTTTCCGCATGCGCTGATCGCAGCCGTATGCGTGACGACGTGGGTGACGTTGCGCCACTGCATGTCCTGCAGGAATTCGAGAGCCTGAAGCCATTTGCCTGCTGCTTCACAGGTGTTCATGGCAGCAGTGTAGCTCATTGAAGTGGGTTCCAAGCGATTTTCTGAGAGACCGTCCCAGCTTTCCAGCGCTTGCCTCCATCTTTGAGCTCGCGTAGATGCCATTATCAGGCTGTTGCTGGTGATGATGTTCGGCTCAAGTTTTCTGACTCGAACAACTGACGCCAAATGCAAAGCTAGCTGCCAAGCACGATTCTTCTGCCAATGCTCGGAGTTGCTCGTACAACTGATACAACTGCCAATACTTGCCATACTTGCGTTGAGGCTGATCAAATCCAATTCGAGTTGAATTCGATGCAGTTGCTCCAGCAGCTGCAAAGAGCGATTCCATTGCTTCAAGGCAAGAACCGAATTGTAGGTGACTAAATCACAAAAAATCCGTCTTTGATTGGCCTCCTGCAAAATATTCCCAGCCACGGTCCAAGCACTTTCTTTGCTGTAGTGAGCGATGAGTTTGTTGTAGCTGGAAGTGGCCAGCCAGCTCGGACTCAGACTCTTCTGACTCGGCAAGCTCGGCAAGCTCGGACTCAGCTTCCAATCTCGCATTCCATGTGGAGACTCGTGGGTCCGTTGAGATGACGATGGGCCAGCACCTGCCTAAATTCTGAGAACTTGAGATGGAAGAATTGGAAGAATTGGAAGAATGAAATTTAATGCAATGGCACATAATGGCACTTTTTAGAGGATATGGGATGAATCTTGGGATGGATCTTTGGGTGATATAGGATCTGGCCGATTACATTTGTATGAATATATAGTATATTCTTACCTCATCATGTAGACTAGTTACTTAGTTCTCTTGTACTTGACCTACACCTGTCACTGAAGAGAAAAATGTAAGTAGCGGGTCCTGGACAGCGGGAAACCTATGGAAACCTTGCAAGTTTGATCGGTGCGCCTCCGACACACGAGCCAGTTCTTCCAGGAGCCTCGCATCTAACAGGAACACCTCGAGCCTTGTTTTTTATCGCTTGTTATAGCATGCTATAGCACCAAGGTCACCGAGTTTACCTCTGTTGTTAATCCTCTGTTTTTGAAACTTTCAGGGGAGCTGTGCACTTTAGATCTTTTGCAGCTTGATGCAGAAAGATCAGATTCACTGGAACTTTCCCCTTGTTGCTCACCTTGTCTCGCAGCTTGTGCTGCGACTCTTTAGGTCGTTGATCTCTGCCTGGTCACCAATGAAACCGCAAACTTCAGAAACTGAAACCGCATCAATGTTGTTTGTTGATGTCTGGCTCTGGAGTCATACTGATTTTCCTGCAATCGCAAAGCTGTAGGACAAATCACGCTGTGAATTTGAAGAGCTTTGCTTGAACAGACTTGACGCTGATACGAATTCTGCGAGTTCCGTTCTCTACGTTATCTCAGGAAAACTGGCACCTGGAGGTAAGCATGGGCATCTGAGACCTGGTCAAGCCGGGTCAAGCCGGGTCAAGCTCAGAACATGATTGTATGATACGTATGATATGTATGCAATTTTCCTAAATTTTCCTTCAGCTTCCTGCTATATCGGCAATCCCCTGCACTTAGAAACGGCCAATGTTGCATTAATGTTCCACTATATTCTTTCTCAGTATCTCAGCCCAAACAAGAGCTCCATTCAGTCCATTCAGAATGTTGCACTCAGCCTTACAGTATCTTACAGTCATTGGATTATTGATGATTATTGATGATTATTGGATTGGTTCAGATTGGTTCAATCCTGTGCATCCCCTGACCTCGCTGGAGATCTTTGCTGAATGCCTTGGCATGCTGAAATGGATAGTGGGGCCGTGGAAACTGGGAAACCAAAAGTGAGGAATTGAACGAATAACATGGAATAACTGCACAGCCACTGGTATTTCATGATATTTCGGCGTTTGATGCCAGATTCCTTCTGGAAATTATGAGAACAAGCTTGAAAGACTCGCACTTGAAATCAACCAAATTCAAGTCGTGAAGTGGACTGAAAGTGTTCCTGAGGGTAGGGGACTTTCCGAGTCGACGCAACGCGGAAGAAACGGAAGAGACGAGGATCTCGGGCTGTGACCCATTGGTCACGGCCACCAAACTTTGCTCCAAGTGCTCTGTCCTGTTTTCGGAGACGGGCGAGAGGTCGGGAGTTGAAAGATATTGAAAAATATTGAAAGACTTTCAAAAGATATTGAAAGACATTAAGAGACACTAAGAGTTTCTTCAGGTACAGTGCGTACGGTCGAGATGTGACACCGGTGACGCTGTCCTCTCCAGTGCAGTGCCGATCATCTCCTTCCGCGACGACATCATGCCATGCCATGCCATGCTGCATGTGTTTGCTTCGGATTGTCTCAATGATCCAGCCGCCCACGATGAAAAACACCGAGAAGCGACCCTTTGCAGTCCTCGAGGCGAGCCTGAGTCAAAGCATAAAATCAGAAACCATCAGAAACCACCACTGACCATCGCATCATCATCAAAATCATCAAATCAGAAATGAACTGAAGATTTGGCATCGACAATCATGTTGGTTTCCCCCAAAATGCAAAGGGATCATAATCACAATAAAGCAGGTGTTCTGACCGACTAGGCTCCCAAAGCTTCGAACAACCCCTCTAATCTCATATATACATTCAAACTTGAAGCGTTTTTCCGTTTTTGAAGCACTCAGATTGTCTTCCGGGACTTGACATCTCGACGTTTCTCGACATTAACTCTCGACGAAGACAATTCCGTGCCTGACTCACTCCAGGATCCTCGCCATCTTTGGGCGAAACCTGGCGCACTGGCAAGGCAGAAATGGAATGAAAAGGATAGAAAATTCAGAAAATTCAGAAAATGGAAGGGTTTGGATTTGGATTTGGATAGGAATGGCACAACGCTGATGTTATTGCACGAGCTGCACGAGCTGCACGAGCTGCCATAAGCCCATCTTCTGGAAACATTGGGAATGTTTGCCGCTTGCAGCTGAGGGCAACGAATGCAAAATGGCAACAGTTTCCTGAGAATGGGAGGCAAACCGAAGTACAGTTTGATTTTTTTGGTTACCTGGTGTCCTCATTCTCCTCTCCTCCCCTCTCAGAAATAAGCAGAAACTGCATTCGAAATGGATCGAATAGTCTTGTACTCCCGGGAGCAAAATTCCACGTGGAGCACCTCGCGGACAACTTGAAGCTTCTGCACCACGTCCTGCACCGTGGCAGGTCTAAAGCACCTCATGTTTCGAAACCTCAAAACAGAGATGGATAAAGATTGATGAAGATTGAGGAATTCAGAATGGAAAAAAATCAGGGAAAACCAACATCTACGGAACCTATCGGAATCATACAGTGACTATTCAGTGACTACAGTGACTCTACGGAATCAGCTGCGCCGAAGTGGCCTCTTTGTGGCTGGAGAGTTCCAGGGTAAACTGCCGTTCGACGGCCTCCACGTGGCACAGGGCAGGAGACGATGTTTTTGATTCGGATAGATACATGAACTATATACATAATATGTACAATGTGCCTTAAAATATATTCATGAACTGTATCGAAGTATTAAAATAGAATGTTTATAAGCTGGAGACTTGGCCTGACTTTGCAAAATGCGGGAGTTCGGAGCCTCGATTTTCTGCGACAAAATATCTGTGATCCTCACGCTTTCAGCCAGGTCTTGTGCTACCTGGTTCAGCCGCTCCTGCCGCAGACGAGGAAAAAAACCTGGAAGACCTGGAAGACGAACAAAACCCCTGGAAGACCCTGGGAGACCCTGGGAGACAGCACTTGGAGACTAGCTGAGCCGATGCCATGATGCTTTCAGCGTGCGCGCCTCTGGTACGGAAGGCCTCAAGCAGGGCGAGCACTGCGTTAAATTCAGAGAGGCCTTCAAGCACCTTGTTGGACATACTGGGGTAAAACCGTATAACATACATTAACATACATTCAATTTGAAGATTAATTAAACACAATTGATCATAAGCTACTGTCCAAACCTTTTCGAAAGAGTTGGAAGGAGACTTTTGAAATAGTGGCAAGCAAATGCTGGCTACTAAATCGGCCAACCAAATCGCGAGTCTTTCCTAGGCATATCTAGGCATCCATTTTTTTCACGTCTCTATGGGTCTGTATGCCTTTCCACATCCTTTCCACATCGCGCACATTGGGCTCTGTGTTTGACTCTGAGGTCCCTGGCGTTTGCAGCTGCTGGCGGAGTTCCTGTGAGCAATGAACAGCACTTGAAGGGTCAGATTTTCAGAGCTGTCGCATTCTCAGATGAGCACTCGAATAATCTAGAGATATCTAGAGAAAACGGAAGACGGACCATTTTTCATAAAGGAGGCGAAGTCTTTGCTTACACCATCTGAGACTCAGCATGGAGTCTTTCTGCAACTTCTGCAAGCACTGCAGTTTTTGCACTGTTTCAGAAGCTATGGTACTTCCTGAGTCGAATCTCAGTAAAGGTTCTGTGTTGTTCCAAAGGCAATGGGATGTTTCAGCAGCCCGTCCAACATCTTGGTGCCGTCGCAACAATCGAAGATGCAGGTTAAGGTCGCATTGGCTGGGAGGAACTCATTGATCATCTCTGAGAGTTCCCCGTCCGAAATCGGTAGGTCCGATTCCTCGCTGGGACAGAGTTTCAGTCCATCGCCATGCCCTGAGAAGTGAAACAAAAGCCGTGCCTCGCCAGATCCATCACCAAGGAGTAACCATCGCAGGCCCTGCAAAATCTGCTCTCGGGACACGCGGCCGTTTCCCTCGTTTCCGGGCTGATCCGTCAGCGTGCGGATCTCGGAGGCAGAGAACAGGTTCTCAGACTGAAGCCTCGGAACATCAACGGAACATCAACGTTGCAGAGATGAAAAAAATGACGAAAAATGACGAAAAAGCGTGCTGTCCGTGCTGTCCTGAGCGAAAATTCACAAAGTATGACAAAATCAAATCGATTCAAGCCATGAAAAATAGAAGTCTACAGTCTACAGGCACAAATTGTACAAATGAAAGATATAATATATATATTATAAGTCTAGAAAAGCAATTGAAGAATTGTGTGGTTTGGAAAAACGATCAGAACCCACTTTGATCATCTTTGATCCACGATGGCTCATGCTGCGAGACGCCAATCTTGCATGTCCGTGACGTCATTCCACGATCCATGGAGTTCTGGAAGTTTGGCCGCAGCATTCGTGGCCGGGTAACACAGACCCACCAACAAAGCACGGCGGACCTCTGCAGTCTCAGTCCAGACTGTGCCTAAAGTGCGAGTGTCGAGCCTGCTGGAACCCTTCAGTATGACCTTGGGCTGAGAATGAGTTGTTCCAGTTGTTCCAGTTGTTCCTTCAAGACTGGCCAACTTAACAATTTAAGTTACTCAATTTTTCTCAATTCCTTTCGAGCCGTTTGTGAGGGGGTGAGGGGAAAGTTTGGGCATCCTCATCATACATAGTCATAATAAGATATAATAAGATATAATAAGTCAATATAAGTCATACATAGTCATAATCATACCAGGCCACTCCAGCAGATTCCCGCTGACGATTTAAAAGATTTCCGATCTGCCTCAGTAAGCTGTTGAAGTCCAGAGATCGCCATCCTTTCTGTGCGTTCGCTTTCAGTACCGCGAGGAGTGACTGGGTACAGATCCCGCCCCGGGTGAATGGATCTACTCTACCTGAGAAGAAGCTCGCAAACCATCCCGTAGACCATCCAGAAGATTGTTCCTCCTGAGGTCTCAAAAGCAGAAAAACACTGGCATACCAAAAAAAAAACTTGTCCAAACCTCCAAACAACTTCAACAGGAAAACTGAACTCAAGACACTTCTGTCTTTCAGCAGGGTCTCCTGTTTTGGCTCATTCTGATTGTTCTCGTCACTCTCGTGACGATCTCTCTCTACAGAGATGGACAGGACGAAGCGTTGCTCGTCGTTGTGGAAATACAAACCATAGACTCCACATCTTCGCAGCAAAAAGCCCAGCATGAGACAAGGACAAGTGGCTGACAAGTGGCTGACAAGTGGCTGACAAGGCCAGGGTTTTGGTGGTGAAGCCGGTGAGGATGACAGTGTGATTCCCAAAGAGCCTTCACACAACACCGTCCAACTGAGCCGAAAAGGAAAAGACGCATTCGGTGTTCAACAAATTGTGGTGTAAAGAAGGAAGGCATATTATGATATCTGTCTTTCCAAGACGTCAATTTCTGCATACCATAGCCACTACAAACGGCAAACATCCTGTAGCTGTATTTGTGGATGCCTCATCGGCTGTCCTATCTTTGACAGCCAATGCATGATGACAAAAAACACTTGCTGGAATCCAGAGCTGACTAAAAGGCTAAGAGTACAAGAAAGGCCTGAGAGGAATGTTAGTGTCAGTATCTTCTGGCTCAAACAAGGAGATAATGATGTAGATAATGCGTCAAAAACTTGGGGGCAAATAGCAGTGCTCTTTTTTGTCGCGTTATTCTGTTGGATTCTCGCACTCATTCAGTGTGTCCAGCAATTGATTTGCCTGACACATCGTGTTTGCATGCTCTGCTTCCATGTTTTCGATGGCATCGTCATTCCCATCCTCCTGGGCTAAAGCCTGCAAACGATCACAATCCGCTGAGAGTTGACGCAGCTGCTGTCGAATCTCTGCCAGTTGCTGCGGCAGCCGTGGAGCCACCTTCAGCACAGCACCAGCAACTCCAGTGGTGCCCGTCGCGCCCGTCGCGGGGCCCAACTCGATGACTTCGGTGAAACGACGAACGCTGCCCTTGATCAACTGATCCACGGCAGCATCCAGCTTCGTCATCAAACCGGCGTCCAACGGTGCAGGAGCGACGCCCAAATGACTTTCACCCCGTCCCGACGGTCCCGACGGTCCCGACGGCGGTCCCGACGGCGGCGGTTGTGGCGGTCCTGGCGCCGGCACCTGGAGCATCTGCGGCTGTGGCCCAAAGCGCTGAGTTCGAAGCGCTGAGTTCGCTTGAAGCGCTTGAAGCGGTTGAAGCGGTTGAATTCGGCCCGAATCTTTTCGAATTAAACTTCCAGCCAGTGCACTGTCAGGCATTGGGATCTCGACAGTCTTTGCGGTGTCTTTGACCTGCCATGCCTGAACCTCCGCCACATGACAAACACCCAAGCTTTGTTCTATTTGACATAGCTGATCTCGTAACGAATCATCACTGGTCATGGCTCGCCGAGCGGCACGGATGCCTGATTGCTCGTTGATTTGATGGATGTGCTTGATCACATGGAATGTGCTCTCCAAATCTTTGATGATTGACTTATATGCTCTTATGTGCTTGATCTTTCTCATCACTACCTGTCATTAGGCACTGAGCCAAAATCCGTATGTCTTCCAGTTTGATGCTGCTTCTAGAGTCCGTTTTCGATTGACCCTGACGGGTAGCTTTTCTGAAAGATGATGGGAAGTTCATTCCATCTATAATACTCCTTTCAAAGTAGAGCCTGGTATGCTGCCGGGACTATCAAAGGTTTCGCAGAGCACTCTGCAGACTTGCGCGGCCTTTCAAATCTTTCAATCTTCCCGGTCTTCCCTCACCTTTTGCTGTTTGTTTGTCCTGCCCGTGCCAAATGCCCAAATGCCCAGGCCGAGCCTCAACCTGCTTCTGCATCTCTGACCTAACACGGATGTTCAAAATGTTCAAAGTCGTTAGAAAGTCGTTCGTAAAGACCTTGCGGGATCCTATGGGCCGCATTTTTGGAACCGCGATTGGTGCCAATATGCCAATTGGCCGGGTGGGTCGTGCGACATCTGCAACCAATGTGGCCAAGTGGCATGCAAGCAGCTTCGGCCTCAAATCGGCAGGTGACAGCAAGAGCCTTTCAGGATCTTTCCCAGAAATTCGTTCCATTCTGTGGAAGATTTGATGACGGAAAATCATTGAGGCTATGACTTGCACACGTTGGGTCGCAATTACCTGATATGACCAGGGTAGCGAACAGGATGCACTGCGAAACTTATCAATGGATTGGAAGCCGCATTTGAGACCTACAAACCACATTTCTTTATCAGAATCAGTAGATTCAACTTGCAAACAAAAGAAGTCCAAAGTCCAAAGCGTCCAAACATGTCCAAACATGTCCAAGCACATCTTCCAAGATCTTCCAAGATCTTCCACGGTTTCGTCATGGAAGCTCTGCAGCCTTCACTTTCCACTGGACGCTGACGCTTCCCGGCATTGATCCGACACCCTTTGGGTGTGGTCCATCAAAGATTGCAACGCTCCGTCAGGCGGCAAAGTGTGGCACGACGCTATCGTAAAGGATGCCGCACATTCCTTGACCAAACTGGTTTCCAGGAGTTCAACAAGTTGAACATGAAATGATGAAATGATGAAATGATGAAATGATGAAATGATGAAATGATGAAATGATGAAATGGTCACTTTCTGCGTTTATTATTGGTATAGATCAGTATAGATCATTTAAGGTGATACGATTCGATGTGACATGACCGCATCCAAAGGCTACACAGACACGAACGCGGCTTGGGTCGCCTTTGCACGCCGTTCCTGCCAAACAAATGACAGAGTGCAGAGCAGAAACTCTCAGAAATCTCTGAAAACTCATAGGTTGTAGAGATTGTGGTAGAGATAGTTCGAATGGATATTTATAGATGGCTATAGATGATATTTCTTGGTATTTATAGATATTTCTTGATATTTCCTGATATTTTGTGCTCTTTAGAGTCTTAGAGTCTTTAGAAGATATTTGTAGTTCATTGTAGTTCTCTGAATTCAAATGATGGTTCAGTCCTTTCTGCGCTTGTCGATCCCAGCCGCACCGTTGCTCTTCATCTCGCAGCAACCGAATCCGACCACCCTGCACCATGAATTGTGAGTGTTTCTGACATGGGAAGCACTAAGGAATCTGGGAAAAACATAGTAAACTCAATGCAAAATCATGCAAAATCCATGAATGTTGGCCATTTCTTGAGAGGCAACATGAGGCAACCATTTCGGACATTCCATGTTCCATTCATAGCCCAATTTTGACCCCAATCACTGTGACCTTCGGCAGCTCTCGCACCTCTCCCCAGCTATGCCCCCAGGAGTTTTGGATTAGCCAGAACTTCTCGGAGATCCTGAACTCAACAGACTCAACAGACTCAACAGCGCTCACGTCTCGAGATTTTTGGAAATCCAGGGTTCATCAAGAATATTTGGATCAGATCAGCAAGATCCACCACTACGGAAACCGGATGAAACCAGATGAAACCGCTACAGCAGAGGTAAAAGGTACGCCGTGAAAACATGGTGTCTCCATGTTTCTCCCACACTCGGACTAGCTTCCCAGGCTTCCCAGGCTTCCCAGCACGTTAGGCTAGGCGGTCTACAGAGTCTACAGAGGGTACGCCTTTCACCACTTGAACCGTAGCGTACAAAGGTTTCACAAAGGTTTCATCTTGAGGCATAGACAAAAAAATCAAAAAGCGAAGCCAACCATTTCATGATCCCAAACAAGAAGCATCTCATCTCGTCCGAAGCCAATGAGGGTGACCGCATGGTCGATAACCGCATCCTCACAAGAAAACTGGGATCCGAGTGTCTTTGGAGTTGTGGTTTCTTTAAACTGCCACTGCGATGCTACTGAAAGCAAAGCACAAAGGCTCTCCTGATCACAATAGTCGAAGACACCAGTGGAGTAGAGGTGCCTCAGCAAGAAATGCACAAATGCACAAAAATGAAAGTTTAGTTTGTAAGCGTTCAAGACCAAGACAAAGTGATCCAGCATCCAAAAAAGAATCTCCGAAGCTTACACAAAGCCTATGACCCTCTTGGAGATGTTCAGCAATGTTAGATTGCTGTTCAGTTTCTGTTTAACATTGTTAAAGTAACTGATGTAACTGTTAAAGTAAGTGTTTTTACAGTTCTGTTAACAGTTCGCTTCACACTTTCTGTTTCTCCGTTTCAGTGTTCGTTGCTCCGACGACGTCTTCGTTTCGAGAGAAGTCACCAGGTCCTCGCTGCCACTGAAACGCCCACGGGACCACGTTCGTAGACCGCACGGAGCAGCGGCTCATAGCCTTCAGCGCATCTCATGTTGACCAAATTTGACCAAATTTGAAAAAAAAACATTGAAATACGTGGTTCAAAAAAGCGTTAAATACACTGAAATAGGTTGGATATTGAATATTGATGAATATTGATTCTGTATGAAATATTTACATATATTTACATATTCGATGATTTTGATCAATATCTGATGATTTTGTTCACCATTCTCAGGCTGATGCTGCTTAAGACCTTGCGTCAACCCGATGGCTGAGATGCTGCCGGATCCTTTTTTTGATCCTTGTGGAATGAAGCGCCAACCACACCGTTCTTGGCAAGATAAGGCAAGTCCAAAATCGTCCGAAATCGTCCAAGGTGTTCCAGCGTTCCAGTCTGTTCCAGTGTTCCAAGATCAAGATCTTGCTGATCTCCTTGCTCTCCTTGCTGCTTGGAAGCTGTTCACTGGAAGTCGCTGCCAACCTCTGAGACCACTCTGCAAGCCCAAGGAATCCTTCGCCGCTAGGCGAGCACCCACTGAAGACATGTCCTGGTGCCTGAGCTGTCCGAAACGTCTGCAGTCGACAACAGTCTGCAACAGTCTGCAACAGTCTGCAACAGTCTGCAAGCCCAATCCTGGACATCGAATGACATCGAACATCAATTGGGACAAGAGAAACCCTCACCTTCAAAAACCCTCACCTTCAATGAATTCAATGCATTGTGATTGAATTCGCTGGAGATCAAAGAATCAGGTCACACAAATGCCATATGCAACTTCCAGACATAAATTTAAGCCCTTGGCCGTGTCCGGACTACGTTTACTGTGGCCACCATTCTTTGAACTCCAGCTGAATGAACATGTAAAGAACGGGGAAAACATGGAAGGCAACGGGTCACCAATTTGCTTCTGGGCCGCTCATGCAAGTACTTCAGTGCTGCCAAATCCTCAAGAAATCTGAAGCTGTGAAGATCTATGAAGATCTGTGAAGCTTTAGCTTAGCGCTACAGTATTACCTCGCCACCTTCACCACCTATCTCGTACTCCACTCGACAGCTGCACAGCATCTGGTCATGGCATGTCATGACTCCAATGTCCAGTTGCTTCATTGGAGTAACATTAGAGTCTTCATGTCACTTCATGTGACACTTCATGTGACACTTCATGTGACACTTCATGTGACACTTCATGTGACACTTCATGTCACTTCGCTCTGCGCCTCGTAATTCTGCGCTGCTGTTTGATTCACAATGTCAACCGCTTCCTCCCCAAGATCCTGGCGCCAGTGCGGCATCTGGGACGCTCAGAATTTCAAAACAAATCGCAAAACAAATGTAAACACATTTATTAAATGTAAACAACCTCTTTAGATCCCTTTAGATCAAATCCCAGTTTCAAAGATATCAATACATTTCCCGTCTCTGGGGTGCATATGGTGCATGTCTTTCATGACAACCATGATCCAATTTGACTCTGTCTGCACAGGTTGTCAGCCCTTGAACTCCTCTCGATGGCCATCTGCCCTTGGCTGAAGTGTCAATTGGACACAAATGAACAGACATTGGTTGCAATATGTTGCAGTGGTTCCTGACATTTTCGTTGTATGATGTGTATGATTGTGTATGCACCATCTCGCAAGAAACACTTGGTGTGCACAAGATGGGTCTCACAAGTGTTTAAAAATGTTTAAAATAGCTGCAGATCGAGCATCTGAAACGCAGAGAGCGAGCCACCTGAGCCACCTGAGAGTCCGCATCTTCCAGTTCTGCGTCGGTAAGGATTTTGAGTTTCTTCCCGAAGGCCCAAGTGCATGGCCTTGAGACCATTGAGACCAGCGTCCCACCGTCCCACAGCATTCCAGAAAATGTCACAACATTCACAAAATTGCCGCTGTATAGCATTCTTTAGCTTTTTATGCAGGTTCATGTTGTACCCTTCGAAACTGAAGATAGATCATGATAAATCATGATTAAATCATCCTACAAAGATGCAAACACTGGAAAGACTAATCATATCTAATCATATCTAATCAAATATGTCTGCAAATATGTCCTTTTGCAACACGATGCAACACGTCGTCGGGCAACGTAGTTCATCGCCAGTTCCACCGTGGCCCCTGAACATCCACCGGTGCCCCCGCAGGCATTGGGATTTGGCACGCAGTCCACCAGCTCCTGAACACAGCAGAGACGAGGAAAACACACCACAAAAAGATACAAATATATATATATATATACGTATTGTATTATATATATATAAAGATATTGTATATATATATATTATAAAGATATAAAAAGGAAGAACAAAAATGTCACAGAACTGAAACCACCATAGAATTTAAGGATTCTACGCGAGAGACTATGTGACATGATGTGTCAATTACTTGGATATTTTTTCTGTCGCAGACATTCCATCTCAAGGAGATTGAAGAAAATGTCAATGTGCGACATCAAACTGAAACAGTTCCAATCCGCATGGGAAAGACTGAAGCGAGAAAGGGAAAGAATGTGCTAAGCTGCTGCCCGCTGACCTGGAAGAGTTCCAAAAGATCCAAAAGAGGAACTTGTCAACTCAACTTTCTCAGGTATTGAACGACCCATGGCTAGTGCTATAAAAACCCAACAGATCCCAACAATCTCTGCACCTGAACTGAAAAGCTCCGCTGTGGTGATCGGTAGATCTCTGCATGTGCCATGAGCACCACAGCACTTGTGACGGCCCAGCAGGAGCCGCAGCTGCCCTGTGCAGTGCCACAGTCAAAGGATGACAACGTTCTCCAGGATTGAATCAGGTTGAATCAGATTGAATGCTGTGGTTTCACCATGTTTCACCTACATGTGTCTGCCATGAGGCTTTCCAGCAACTCTCAATTCACGGCCTAGGACAGAGGGACGGGACAACGCGCACCTGATCAAAGACGTTCTGCAAAGAGGACAATGTCGTCCAGTTCAAAAATTGCTCTGGCAAGCTATTCACCTCACAGAATCAGGCTCAGATATGCTCGGATATGCTTGTAGAATCTTGTAGAATCTTATATCATTTGGATATCTGAGATATTCTGAGATCATGCCAAGGCCCCAAGGCAAGGCTTTTGCAGAAAATCACGCGGTGAATTCTGATCTCCGTGGCCGCATCGCGCGCCTGGACCAACGCAGCCTGCGCAGCCTGGGGGCCTTCTGCAGTTGCAGTGCCTCGCCAGCCACGAAGTTCAGCCAACTCCTCGTCCGTGTAATCCTCACAGGTCTCTCACAGCCGAAAACACGTGCAGAAGTGTCACGAGTATCTCACTCATCTCAAATTCATCTCAATTGTAGATCTCTGAAGATGTCTAAGAGATTTCTGAAGATACTGAGGAAATCTGAGGAATATCATGGAATATCTTAATATCTTAACCATTGGAGGCTTTGGGTGTTGCCATTCTGGCAACGTCACGCCGTTGTTCTGATGACCTCTGTCAGGTCGAGTAGCTGCTAGCGGTCCCAAGCCAGCCGTCCAGCGTCGTTTCGGATTCGCATTTAACCGATGCACCTCGCAATCAACGGATTCAACTTCAGTAAAAGCAGTGAAAGTTGCAACATCTGAAGCTTGACGAAGCTTGACATAGGCTTTTGAATGAGACGGCCCACATTAGCTATATGGCTCAAAGCAAAAAACACAAGTAAACGCTGAAAATGGTTTGCAAGTCTTTCACGTCTTTCACTTACAACAGGTGAAGAATGCAAATTGAAGCACGAAACATAAAACCACTGGTGAACACCCGCTTGTTCGCTTGGATTTATTCGTGTGCAATCAAAGATCTCTGTTCACTTGATCTGTGCATGCATTTGAATGGTGGCCCCCCTCCTCCTGCCTTAAATGGTTAGTCACGACTAGTCTTCTTGTATGGTTTTGAATCCGTTGCACTGTCTTCGCTGCCAGGTCTTGAAAAAATCCGAATTTTTCATCCAGACTTCGCAGTCCCTTCCCGGCCCTTCGCCTCCTCAGCCCGGCTCTCGAACAACCGGAAGCGCTCCCGGTAGGTGCCGGAATCATAATCTCAGCGCAGCGGCGCAGCGTTCAAATCATGTGGTTCATTCTGTTCTAACTCGGCACAATTGTCCAACCAAAACGACCAAATGTCTTCGGAGTTCAAAAATAGTCTCTTTTCTGTCTCCATCTGTCTCCATAGTCTCCATTCAAAAATATTATGGAAATCTGGTGGGGTTCCAGTGCCAAGTTGCCGCGACCATATCGCGAAATGAACGCCTCGAAAAACTCTAGAAACAACAGAAATCAAATGTATTGACCTGGCAATTCTATGCGGAATTTATTGGTTTGGAAACTTAGATCACTGCTCAGTTTGGCACGTGATGCATGAGAACACACGGTTGAACTCTCTGTGCCGGCCCTGGCGGCCTTAAAAGTTTCCTCGGAAGCTGTGACGGACTGCACTGCGATCAAAAAAGCCACACGGGCCACACGGGCCGCCATCTCATCCACAGCCACCTGTCAGGTTTCCACAGGTTTCCACAGCTGTTCTTCACACAAAACGAGTTAAAACAGTTATCGAGTTGCAATTGGTTTACAAACACCTTGTTTTTACCATGTGCAAAGGCAGGTGGATCATCATGGGAACAGTTTGGGTAGTTTGACAATGTTCGCTTCGGATATCATACAGATATATACAAATATGGTGTCACGTTCAAGAGAATGAAAACGATGCTCCACTGAAAACCACGTGCCTATTGTTGCTCCGCTGCAAAGCCCTGGGCAACTGGCCTTGTGTGCAGTTCAAACTAAATTCAAATCAAAATTGGTCGTCGTAAACGTCGTAAACGGTGTCCTTTCAGGCACATGTTCTTCATGTTGAGTGGGAACCTGAAATATCCGAAACGAAGGAACATTTGTTCATCAATTTCAGCCGCAAAGCCCCAGTGAAAACAGCAGAGCCGGGGTCCCAGGCCCAGGTTTTCCAACGGTGCCGACGTGGAAACACTTTCGGATTTGGACCAAAGGTTCTGCAGCCGTTCGACGCATCAAGTTCAATAAAGACACAGAGAAACACATCCCACATATTCACATTTAATAGTCGTTTAATCACTGACAAAATATTTCTAGATGCATCATCACATTTAGTTCAAGTTAGAGAGGGTTGAACAAGCTGATCATGGTCAAATGACAGTTTCAACGTTGCAAAAAATACATAAAAATACCATGACTTCCAAGAATGACATTTTTGCCAAAGTCAAGGCCGATTTATTGAGCCGTTTCTGTGGTTTCTCCGAACACGACGAAACAACAACGAATCGCACCACGAGTCCGGTGCCTCGGACTGAGCCGTCAGCTGCTCCTCCGGATACAAGGGACACAAGTCGGACACAACGATGTTAAACTGTTTTCAACGATTTTTAACGTATATATGCTGCATATGCTGCATATGAATGCATATTATGAATGCATATGATATCAATATCAATACACGAACGTGTATAACAGGCAACTAATTTTCGTTCTGATGTGTCCGACGTTTTCACGATCATGTCTAACGAGAAAACATTATTTAGGTGACATCCACGACCTGCGCACGCCACACAATCGACGATCATCGTTATTTTTTTGGGTGCCTTGACCGCTGGATATGTTCAAATTGCACAACGTAGGGCGCTCCCAGAGCTCCGTGAACTCGGTGGCACGCCACGACATGACGTGACACGATGACGTTCGATGGTCGCCGTCACGAAGTGTGCGAATCTTCTCGTCAGAGTCCAACGGCTCGCCATCAAAAATGTGGTCGTCATTGGCTGCTCATTGATTGTCATTGTGTTCCAGCTGTCAAGATCAAGAGATCAAGGTCCACCGAGCCGACAGAAATGCCGCGTCGAGCATGGTCTTGTCGCATTGCAGCCAGCCTCGCTTTGTATCGATGCCACGACCAGAAGTTCTCGATCCGATGCACTGATATGAGTTGCGCCCTGCTCATGAACAATCCATCGAACCATTCCAAGCGTGACCGGTCTTGAAGAGAATGTCTAGGATTGACGATGAAATGGTGATCAAATAGTGATCAAATGGTTAAATTAATGGTTAAATCATGTTAAATCCCTTGCCTCTCAAAGGGGCTCCACTTCGTATCACTTCGTTCTGCTGCAAATCAGCGGAACCAGTCTCCTGAGGAACGCCAAGAGCCGTATCCTGCGGACCTTTCTGCGGGTGCGCTGCACTCAAAGTCCACCATGGCTCCACCAATGATGAAATGATGGTGGTGCTTCGACTATCAAGACTTCAATGACTTCAAGTAGTCCAGATATGCCTGGTGCATCTCGTGCCCTTCAGGCGCAAACGCTAGAGCCATTCATGTCATATTGCCAGGCGCCAAGGCTGAGACCAGAAGTGCTCTTCTGCACCTGCAAGCAGTGGCAGGTGATTCTTCAGCGTCATTCAATCCTAAAAAGACCTCAAATGTCCATCCTCGATTCCTCCCAGCCGAGACCAGCGTAGCTTCCGATCATCGCCATGACAAGGAGGTGAGGCTTCCGACGGCCGATCCCACCATCAGATGCGTGAGCCTGCTTTCATGATGCCTGTCCTCAACCTTCACACTTAATGACACTTAATGACACTTCATGACCTGAAACGCTGGAGAGAAAGCAGCCTCCAACGCCGCGTTCAAGTGCCTTTGCCTCGCGCATTGTTTCTCAGCCGCTTGCGCCTTCAACGTGGCAGTTTCCTGCGAACTCTTCAGCCTTGTGCACAGCGACTTCTTCGGCTCACAGCTGCTTGGGCTCCACCGGCTCCGGCGTGGGGTTTCCTGTCTTCCTGTCTTCACTGCAATGCCGCAGCTTCTAAAGTGCGGCATTTTTTGCAGCCCATCTTTTCAGAATCCGTGGAGACCAAATATTCACAGCTTGCACTGTACTTCAGGCGCTGGCAGCCATTGCAACTCCACCGGTCGTAGGTACTCAAATTCAAAGCGCCATAGATATCAAAAATGACTTTTAGTGGAAGACCATGTGCCTTTTTGGGGCGTCCATTGATTTTGGCGACCATGTCCAAGTGGGAACACAGACTTGAGACTTGAAGCAGAAATGCCTCTGTTTCAATAAGCTTCACCGAATCACAATGCTTGTGCTGATGTGTTTCTGTGCTTCTTGGCCTTTGCAGTTGATCAAAAGCTGATCAAAATGCCAAGTCAACTTCGCTTCTGTTCATTGAATCATGACATAATGATTTTGAAAGCATTTCAAAACATGATAGGAACAATGTTTCAAACCTGTACCGCTGTGCTATGCCAAAAAATCTACTCTCGAAGTAGTTGTAAAATGCATTGTTGGACAGGCCACAAGAAATGTTGATCCCTGCCAATCTAACGAAATTATTGAACTATATGGCTGTGTACCCTGCGTTCCATTTTACCATTGAACGGATAAATAGTGTTAGTGCCTCAAAAATCACAATTTCAAGTTCAGGAGTGACAAATGAAATGGCATGGGAATATAGAATCGAGATTTGTTTGGGGTAATTAGTTTCTTTCGTGTAAATACCTTGCACATGGTATTGTTATAGTATTGTTGTAGCATTGTTATACATGCTGTTTACCTGCTGTTACAGTGACATGGTCAATGGTAAACTACATGCTCCACATAACTGCAGAAGTTGCGTTGCGGATTCCAGCAATACCAGCATTCCAGCGCAGCCAGCGTACAGCTCGTACCTGCAACGCAGCCAAGTTCTTCGCCAAGTGCCTCTCAGCCTGGCGACGCATGGCCGGATGACACACTTCCGACATGAAAACTGAGAAAAACATGCAGACATATATGAGTCATATATGCATATATATATATGTGTGTGTGTGCATACAAAATATATACAAAATAAATGCAAAATATGACTGATTAAAAACTTGGAAGCGTCGTGACTGGATGAAAAGCAATGACAAATTATGAAACGTCTGACATTGTGTGTGTGTGTGAGAACAAAAAAAGTGCTGTCCACAAGCAAGGACAGCAAGACCTGTTGTGCAACATTCCTCTATGTGGAGGAAGCGGCTGCTGTCGTCTAATGTGTTTGTATGCATTTTATAGATTTGCCGTATAACTTGTTTTACAATATATTGATATAATATACATATTTATATATACATATATATATATATACATGTATTTATATATACATATTCATATTGTGATGAAATTTTAATTGACTTGGTTTGAGTATTTTGAGTCAGTTTCACAACTTTTTTGTTTTCAGTCCGTCACGCCATTCACGCCTCAGTGGCCAATGTACTGGCTGCTGCGTCACTCGCGGAGGCCACCTCTGCAGCGGTCAGCTGTGTTCTCCACTGTCAGTGTTCCACTCCACTGTCGCACTGGTTAACATGTTACAGGATGTTACAGGATGAAAAACAGGATGAAAAACAGGTATAGCATGTTGCTACATGTTGCTACATGTTGCTATAGCTTGAGATGTGAAATACCAAAGCAAAACATGCGTTCTGTATCGTTCTGTAGCTGTCACGGCTTAGACTGGTTGCACCCAAAGAATACCCTCCTCAACAATCAATCCGCAGTCGACAAAATCAAACAAGGCAGACCGCTCAAAGTGTGACCCAATGAGCCCCCCAAATCCAGACCATGATGCCACGACTCCAAACGAGCATAACTAGCCTGAACTGTTCACCTGAACTTACTCATGGTACAGGTTCCGCCAGGTTCCTCAGTTCCTCCTTTTCACTTTGAAACTTCATGTAGGTCTGCATCACATGTCATCATCCTGTAGGTCTGAGTCTCCCAACTGCAGAGGAAGTCTCTTGCAATGCAGTAGCCTGATCCACCATCTGCTTTACAATGTCTTTGACCTCGATCACGCGCAGTCAAAGAATGTCACAATGTCAGTTTCTCAAACAGTTTCCAAATGGAATGCAAATGGAATGCGCGCTGCGTCGCACCGGACTGCATTGGACTGCGTGCAATCTCACCTATCTCACCTATCTCACCTATCTCACCTGGCCTCAAAGTGACACCGTGACACAGTCTCCCTTTGGTCCAAGGGGCAAAAGCCACATGCTGCTCCACCTCTACTGTCTTTTCGCGGACCGTGTCGGCCTCGAAACAGAAATATCAAGAAGTCTTTGTATCAAGTCGAAATAAGTCGAAGGCCTAATGGCCTAAATTCTTTCTAGTGCACAACTGTGGCAGTGCACACCTGCCCTGGCTTTGAAAGCACACTCATTTCATTGCCATATAAAGCCATATAAGCATCTCTCCAATGGCTATCTGGAAGATCGCGAAATATGCAGGTATAATTACGGTACAATATAATTATCATGTTTTTTTTTTCATCAGCAATCGAAACATATCGGGACAATCCGGATTAGCACGAGTCCCCAGCATTGTTTTGTACCGCTGTCAATGCATTGGTGGCAGCAGCAACATGGCTCTGAGTGGATTCCGCCTCAGTTTGGCTCAAGTGGGTTTCGGGTTTCTCAGCAGCAAACTTGTGAAAGTTGGCGCATTGTGCATGTTTCTTTAACAATCACATCTTTCTCCAATATGAAAACGCCACAAGCCAACATCCAACAACTGCAGGCACAAAAGTGTTTTTTGCTGAATCCAAAAGAAGGGAAAGCCGCTGTCATTGCCAAGATGCTGCGCATTCTGAACTTTCCTTCGCTGCGAGAGCCTTCTGGGCGTGACTCTCAGCTGAAGCCACCTGTACACATCCATGGAACCGATAACACCTTGCATAGTGCTTCAAGCATCTTCAAGCTGCATTGGTGCTGCAGAATTGTCAAAAGCTGCTCATGCCGTGAATGCTCTCTCATGAGTTTAGGAAGCAACACCCTGAGGACCCAGCATTTTCTTGAACGGCGGTCAAAGCATTGGTAGTTGTCATCATGTGGTTTTCAGTGGTTTGAGCCTTGGCAAACTGCTCAAATTTTGCTCTGCACCCAGCTCTCACAAGACTGGAAAGCACTGTCTCAAGGCATCCGCTGTTGTTACTGCACCAATTCATTCCCATGTTCATCCCTTACAAACAAAGTATGAGGCAAGCTGCCGAGACTTCTGAAGCCGCCTTTGCTTCCATTGCCTTTTGTGCGTGGCTCTCAGCCAGAGTAACCTGGGCATCAAAAGTTCTCAGCTTCATCGGAAACAATGGTTGAGAATCTGCACTGACACTGCGTTTTTGGATGGGTCTTGGTCCTTTCTTAGCCTACCTCTCCATGTTGGCAAACAACGAATGACCAAGCCTTCCCATCCACGCCAGAATCCAACTATCAACAGCAGGGCTTGAATTTGTCGAGGGGCGGGGCTTGGAACAAAAGGGTGCTGTCCTGCTTGGAAAGCAAAAAGGCTACAACCAAATGACTACGTCATCATACTTCTTTGTATGTGGCTGAATGGGATCAATGACGGTCAATGTCTTGCAAGAATGAATGTGCTATCAACACATCCATAAAAGTTCATTGAAATCGAAAACTTATGGTTGTTTTCCGTCAAACACATTGAAGCTCATATGCAGCCAGACTGTTCGGGGCAGCTGACGTCACAAATTCTCCTGATCATGAAAGTGACAAGCCTGGTCGTACGCAAAATCAAGACTCTGGCCACTTGGTTTAGGAAGCAACACCCTGAGGACCCAGCATTTTCTTGAACGGCGGTCAAAGCATTGGTAGTTGTCATCATGTGGTTTTCAGTGGTTTGAGCCTTGGCAAACTGCTCAATTTTTGCTCTGCACCCAACTCTCACAAGACTGGAAAGCACTGTCTCAAGGCATCCGCTGTTGTTACTGCACCAATTCATTCCCATGTTCATCCCTTACAAACAAAGTATGAGGCAAGCTGCCGAGACTTCTGAAGCCGCCTTTGCTTCCATTGCCTTTTGTGCGTGGCTCTCAGCCAGAGTAACCTGGGCATCAAAAGTTCTCAGCTTCATCGGAAACAATGGTTGAGAATCTGCACTGACACTGCGTTTTTGGATGGGTCTTGGTCCTTTCTTAGCCTACCTCTCCATGTTGGCAAACAACGAATGACCAAGCCTTCCCATCCACGCCAGAATCCAACTATCAACAGCAGGGCTTGAATTTGTCGAGGGGCGGGGCTTGGAACAAAAGGGTACTGTCCTACTTGGAAAGCAAAAAGGCTACAACCAAATGACTACGTCATCATACTTCTTTGTATGTGGCTGAATGGGGTCAATGACGGTCAATGTCTTGCAAGAATGAATGTGCTATCAACACATCCTTAAAAGTGCATTGAAATCAAAAAATTATCGTTGATTTCCGTCAAACACATTGAAGCTCATATGCAGCCAGACTGTTCGGGGCAGCTGACGTCACAAATTCTCCTGATCATGAAAGTGACAAGCCTGGCCGTACTCAAAATCAAGACTCTGGCCATTGGCTTCAGGAAGCAACACCCTGAGGACCCAGCATTTTCTTGAACGGCGGTCAAAGCATTGGTAGTTGTCATCATGTGGTTTTCAGTGGTTTGAGCCTTGGCAAACTGCTCAAATTTTGCTCTGCACCCAGCTCTCACAGGACTGGAAAGCACTGTCTCAAGGCATCCGCTGTTGTTACTGCACCAATTCATTCCCATGTTCATCCCTTACAAACAAAGTATGAGGCAAGCTGCCGAGACTTCTGAAGCCGCCCTTGCTTCCATTGCCTTTTGTGCGTGGCTCTCAGCCAGAGCAACCTGGGCATCAAAAGTTCTCAGCTTCATCGGAAACAATGGTTGAGAATCTGCACTGACACTGCGTTTTTGGATGGGTCTTGGTCCTTTCTTAGCCTACCTCTCCATGTTGGCAAACAACGAATGACCAAGCCTTCCCATCCTCGCCAGAATTCAACTATCAACAGCAGGGCTTGAATTTGTCGAGGGGCGGGGCTTGGAACAAAAGGGTACTGTCCTGCTTGGAAAGCAAAAAGGCTACAACCAAATGACTACGTCATCATACTTCTTTGTATGTGGCTGAATGGGGTCAATGACGGTCAATGTCTTGCAAGAATGAATGTGCTATCAACACATCCATAAAAGTTCATTGAAATCGAAAACTTATGGTTGTTTTCCGTCAAACACATTGAAGCTCATATGCAGCCAGACTGTTCGGGGCAGCTGACGTCACAAATTCTCCTGATCATGAAAGTGACAAGCCTGGTCGTACGCAAAATCAAGACTCTGGCCACTTAGTTTAGGAAGCAACACCCTGAGGACCCAGCATTTTCTTGAACGGCGGTCAAAGCATTGGTAGTTGTCATCATGTGGTTTTCAGTGGTTTGAGCCTTGGCAAACTGCTCAATTTTTGCTCTGCACCCAACTCTCACAAGACTGGAAAGCACTGTCTCAAGGCATCCGCTGTTGTTACTGCACCAATTCATTCCCATGTTCATCCCTTACAAACAAAGTATGAGGCAAGCTGCCGAGACTTCTGAAGCCGCCTTTGCTTCCATTGCCTTTTGTGCGTGGCTCTCAGCCAGAGTAACCTGGGCATCAAAAGTTCTCAGCTTCATCGGAAACAATGGTTGAGAATCTGCACTGACACTGCGTTTTTGGATGGGTCTTGGTCCTTTCTTAGCCTACCTCTCCATGTTGGCAAACAACGAATGACCAAGCCTTCCCATCCACGCCAGAATCCAACTATCAACAGCAGGGCTTGAATTTGTCGAGGGGCGGGGCTTGGAACAAAAGGGTACTGTCCTGCTTGGAAAGCAAAAAGGCTACAACCAAATGACTACGTCATCATACTTCTTTGTATGTGGCTGAATGGGGTCAATGACGGTCAATGTCTTGCAAGAATGAATGTGCTATCAACACATCCATAAAAGTTCATTGAAATCGAAAACTTATGGTTGTTTTCCGTCAAACACATTGAAACTCATATGCAGCCAGACTGTTCGGGGCAGCTGACGTCACAAATTCTCCTGATCATGAAAGTGACAAGCCTGGTTGTACTCAAAATCAAGACTCTGGCCATTGGGTTCAGGAAGCAACACCCTGAGGACCCAGCATTTTCTTGAACGGCGGTCAAAGCATTGGTAGTTGTCATCATGTGGTTTTCAGTGGTTTGAGCCTTGGCAAACTGCTCAAATTTTGCTTTGCACCCAACTCTCACAGGACTGGAAAGCACTGTCTCAAGGCATCCGTTGTTGTTACTGCACCAATTCATTCCCATGTTCATCTCTTACAAACAAAGTATGAGGCAAGCTGCCGAGACTTCTGAAGCCGCCTTTGCTTCCATTGCCTTTTGTGCGTGGCTCTCAGCCAGAGTAACCTGGGCATCAAAAGTTCTCAGCTTCATCGGAAACAATGGTTGAGAATCTGCACTGACACTGCGTTTTTGGATGGGTCTTGGTCCTTTCTTAGCCTACCTCTCCATGTTGGCAAACAACGAATGACCAAGCCTTCCCATCCTCGCCAGAATTCAACTATCAACAGCAGGGCTTGAATTTGTCCAGGGGCGGGGTAGGAACAAAAGGGTACTGTCCTACTTGGAAAGCAAAAAGGCTACAACCAAATGACTACGTCATCATACTTCTTTGTGGCTGAATGGGGTCAACTGCAGTTTTGGGTCTTGGTCCTTTGAGTTCACAAAAGGGACACACTCGACTCACTCGACCCGCTGGAGTTTTCGTACTTTGCACTGGATTCTTGGGGCTTCGAACCGCATCTTGCTGTGCTTGCAAAGCATCTGCGGGATTTGGCCTGTACAGTGGACTGCACTCGACATAACTGTTTTTCTTATTTCACCTCTATTGTCTCAGACGGCCTCAGACGATATCAGAACCTTGTCAGTTCTTATCTGGGCTTCTAGCATCTGCTGGAGTTTCTGGCTGAATTCCTCCAATTTTCTCTCGGAGACCTAGCACTGTAGCACAATGACTTGCAGAGCACAATGAGGGAAGGTGACTGATGACGGAAGCTGATGCGGACGATGCAGACCAGGGAAGCTGATACATCTTCCGGTGACTCAGCAAGGCAAGGTGCCTCGTTGAATTCTCGCAAGGTGCTCAATTCTTTCCCCTCGTAAAACGATGAAAGAGAGGAACACTACACAGACTACACAGCAGTGTCACAGCAGTGTCACAGCAGTGTCACTTGTGACTTGTGTGTACTGTGTATACTGTGTATACGGTGTATACTATGTATACTGTGTATACGATTACGTGTGTCACTTTTAGATGTACAAAGCAGAGCTGATGCGGCACACCAACTTTGAGATGTTTCGTGTCAAAAAGAAAGTTTCGCAAAGCTTTGAGAGACTCGTCCGTTTCAGTTTGTGGGTCTCCTGGGAAGAACTGTTCACCTCAATCTTCCGCTTCATCCTGAGCAAGGTCCATGTCAACAAAAATTCACAAACTGTTGAGGTGTTCACAATTCAATTGTTCAATAATTACACAAATCGTTTGTCCAAAACGGTATACCAGCATACCCTGAAATCCCACGGTTTATCATCATTTTATCCATCAAAGTGGCAGTCTATATTTGTCGGACAAATTTGGAGAAGTGCAAAAAGATTCAAAAAGATTACAGTTTTTATCAGTTTTTTCACAAATTCCAAGAGACTCTGACTCTTCTCTCTCTCTCTCTCTTTATCAGTTTTCCAGATTTTTCAAATTCTCTCCAAGCTGCTCTTCTCCGAGGCTCAGCAGTTCTCTCCGCAGGGTTTCCACCTCCTGCCGCGACGCAGCAAAAAACGCAGTGAGAAGCGAGCCAAAAATCGGCAAAACGCGATGCAAAACGTTCCCAAACATCTGCAAAATCTTATAGTTTGCCAACGTTAGCCATAGTTCACGTATGTTCACGTATGTTCACGTGGCTTTTTGATACATGTTGAATCATTTTGACACTATGTCACCTATGTCTATTTAACTATGTGACTATGTCTATCTTTGTGTATCTATGTCTATTGTCTGAAAAAATAGTGTTTTTTTGGCAGGACGCAAAAACTACTGTGGCTCCTCAGCAATCAAAGTACGGCAGGCTTGCATCTGAAGATCCACAAGGACGTCAATCATGGGCTCAAATGAAAGTCATGAAAGGATCCCCAACTCTGATGTACTCACAATTCCTTGCGAATGTTCAGACCACCTCTCATCCTGAGTAGAATCTAACATAAACTTATGTATTGTATATATATTAATGTATATATATATATTATATATATATTGACATTATATTGATACATAGGGAAACAGGGGCCAATGTTCTAAGTCAACAGTCTTGGGGCCGCACCACTTTGCCACATGATACCTCACAAGCTGACCGATCACAGTGACGGCAGCCCTTTGGTCCCATTGGTCCCGTGTGTTTGTTTGCCATGCTTTACACATTTTACATCATTTTACCCATGACACGTTCCTAAACCAACGCAAGGTGAAGGAATCTCACTGGGCTGAGTGTTCGCTGAGCCACGTCGACGCATCCTCTCGTCTCGAAGTTGATATCTTCACGCCTGGGCAGATCCCAACTTCGCTTCCCAGATTACACACTCTCAGCACGTTGACCCGTCAACTGAAGATGTCTGTCATTCGACTGTCATCTGTCATTATGGAATGCGCCAAATGTGCCAAATGTGCCAAACATGATCAAATATGCCAATTTCGAAAAGGAAAGTGACAGAAACCTGAGAAGGGCTGGAACGAAAGCCAACGCTTGCTTTTTGACTCGCGCGGGGGCGCGTGAAACTCCACCTCATCCATATGGCATGGCTCAAACATAAGCGCCCCAACATCAACAATTGCTATCGGGTCATAATTTGCCAATCATTAAATGGACCTTTTTAGGGTAAACTCCACGATTTTGTAACTTCTATATCCAAATATGTTTCCTACAATGTACTGCGGCATTGTGAAAAATTCTATCTCAAGTTCCGTAAATCCCCCTTTGGTTCCTCATTTATCTTAAAACAGCGCAAGTTTGCTCCCATCTATTGTAGATAAATAATACCCGCTTTTTTGTGTGAACAGTGGTCATGTGACCTCTCAAAGTCTAAATTGTTTTCTCCTCAGCGTGGTCCATGCTTCTCCGCGAAGTTCCGCAACATTTTGGCCGTACGGTGAGAAATCAAAACATAGCTCTACTCGCAAAATGGGCAGTGCAAACCCAAAACAATATTATAACATACGTAAGAAAGGGTATAAGAACGAATGAAAATCGAGGAAAACAATGCAAAACCCACGGGAAATATAGAACAGTGGCGAATATGCAGTCCAAATCAAAAGTATATATATATATGTCATTTACAGACCTGGGTACCCCCCCCACCCCCCAAGGGTCTGGAAAATAGGTATTTTACAGGAAATGTCGCGGAATAGCATCATCCCTGACATCGATAGAGATAATTGTTTGGCATCCCGGAAAATCTTCTCGGCTATCACACTCGCCAAACATCCCTTTTAAAAGGCACACATACTATCACGGACGTACAGATGCATATCATTCCCGTCATTGCCATTAGAAGAGTCAAATTCTTTCTCGATGTTTTAGTACAAGATTCACTTTTAGTTCTGTTTCAGCCTTGCCTTCTCAGTACGGCCTCTTACAATGATATTACAGCATTTGTCTCCTAACCTAGGTGGCTCCTGGGCGCAATCTTCATTCCAATGCTTTGTGACAATAACCAGAGGCCTGGAGCCTATGCATCACTTGACAGTCGACTCAGTTCTAAAACGGGAGCCAGGCTCAGAGTAAGCCAGGTTGCTGATCGATAACGAAAGCCTTCCGTTTACCAGTAGATCGTTTTTGTAGCTCTTGTCACAAAACTACCAGAATCAGGGAGGCACCAAAAAACGTCAAACAGCTTTAAGCATTATAAGTATTCTAATCTGCAGATTGCATTTATTTTTCTTACTTTGTGAACGAAATCACACTTTCTAACTTCACACAGATTACCATGAAACCAATTTTCCCATGTATCTCCTAAAATCTTACAACTCATACATCTTTTTTCCTATACCATCCGCATCTTGCTCCAAGGTTTCATGGCAATGTCTTGTACGCGAGTCAGCCATTATTTCCTATCACCAAACTACATTGCTCATCATCTAACATTATCTACAGAAACCAAATCGGATTTCCTGCTCAACGTTTCCGCTCGTTGACATTGTCTTGGTTTTCACTAGATTTTTTTAAGCATTTTTTAGTTATAACATTTTCCTAGGTTTTCACTGTATTTTTCTAACATGTTACATGCCTCCTAGCATGTTCACGCGTGTCCTCCATGTTGTACTGTTTTCTACATCGTTTCCTCTAGTTGTTACAAGCATTTCCTAGCTTGTACACCGTTTTCCTAATATTGTCACAACTTTTCTTCCAGTTTCCACTGTTTTTTCTACCGTTTCCTGTGGTTACTTTCTTCTCTTTTGTAGGTTTTCACTGTGTTTTGTCCAGCTTTTTTTATTACATGCTTCCTACCATTTTCACCGCTTTCCTCTATGGCTTTTTGTACCATTTCCTCTCGTTTCCTGCATTTCATGCATTTTCAATATATTTTTCCAAGAGTTTTACCCGTCTCCTTCAGTTTCCGATCGTTTTTGCACCATTTCCTCTGGTTGTTATCGCATGTTCCTGCACTTTCACTGTATTTTTCCAGCATGTTTACTGCATCGTCATAGTTTGTTCCTAGCAGTCGCTCCGGTTTCCTCCATGTTCCAACAGATTTTGCACCCTTTATTCTGGTTGTTATCACATTTTCCTGCCAGGTTGTTATCACATTTTCCTTCACTGTATCTTTCGAGCATTTTCCAGTGGATTTTGCACGATTTCCTCTGATTGTTATCATGTTTTCCTGCAATTTCTATATCCTCTTCGTGGGTTTTCAATCTATTCATGCATTTTTAATCTATTTTTCCAAGATTTTTACCCGTCTCCTTTTTGCACCATTTCCTCTGGTTTGCTGCATTTTCAATGTGTTTTTCCAAGAGTTTTACCCGTCTCCTTGATTTTTCCGATCGTTTTTGCACCATTTCCTCTGGTTGTTATCGCATTTTCCTGCACTTTCACTGTCTTTTTCCAACACGTTTACTGCATCGTCATAGTTTGTTCCTAGCAGTCACTCCGGTTTCCTCCATGTTCCAACAGATTTTGCATGGTTTGTTCCTAGCATTTTCCTCTGATCGTTATCATGCTTTCCTCAAGTTTCATTGTATTTTCCAATGCATCCTCTTCGTGGGGTTTCAATATGTTTTGTCCAGCATTTTTTTACTACATGTTTCCTATCATTTTCACCTCTTTCCTCCATAGGTTTTTGATGGTTTTTGCACCATTTCCTCTGGTTTCCTGCATTTTCATACCTTTTCAATATTAATATTAATCCAAGAGTTTTACCTGACTCCTTCATTTTCCGATCCTTTTTGCACCATTTCCTCTCGTTGTTATCACATTTTCCTGCACTTTCACTATATTTTTCCAGCATGTTTACTGCATCGTCATGGTTTGCGCCTAGCATTCGCTCCGGTTTCCTCCATTTTCCAAGGGATTTTCCATGGTTTGTTCCTTGCATTCGCTCCGTTTTCGTCCGTTTTCCAGGGGATTTTTTACGATTTCCTCTGATCGTTATCATGTTTTCCTGCAGTTTCATTGTATTTTCCAATGCATCCTCATGGTCTCTCCGGCCACCAAAAAGGCGGACCTAGGGGGAATCGATACCCCACCGTCAGCAAATTGCCTAGTGGTACATAATCCAGCAAAATGCTCCGTTTTCTCGCGCTCAACACAGGGGCACGGCGAGATTTCGTTCCCTTTCGGCAACCACCCCCCCCCACACCCCCTATTCTCACTTCGTTCGCAAACAGCAACTAGCCAGCTAGCTGGCTTTCGTAACAGAGCTGAAAAGGAGCGTCAGCGGCTGCGTCGCTTCTGTGCCACCCGGCATGTCTTCCATCTGCTGAGACAACATCTTTATCTCCATGCTCTGTGCTTGCACTTGTGCCTCGGTCAAAGTCAGATCAAGTCAAAGTCTATGTCAACTGCACGGCAGATCTTGCAGATCTTGCAGATCCACACCAAAAAAGCTCAGCGGCCGCCGTGCCAGGCCTTGTGATCTTGCATCTCGATCAGACATTCACGAAGAGCTGACGCCTGCAATTCCTGAGTTTAGAACAGCGCAGCTGCGCAGCTATGAACAGATCAAGACAGATCAAGAAAGATCAAGACAGATCAAGACAAGCCATGACAAGTGGACCGTTTGATCCGTTTGTGTGCGCTGCACAAGAGTGGACTTGAGAAGTGGACCGTTTGTTCCTTTTGCTTGTCCAAGTCCTCACCTTGGTGACACAGACTCAGAATGGCACAGAATGGCACAGATATATTTGGAAATTTCGACCGGATTCAGAGGCTCCAGATTCTCAAGCCCGTCACACTGAAGCTTACAGTTTTGCATCACATTTTGCTACTGCTCTTGGAGAATCGGGTCCCAGACTAACACCAACGTTCGAGTTTGTCTCATATAATTCCTTCCCTACCACATTCTGACGGACTATGTCAGCAGCAAATCCTGACAGAGGAAAAAGCACTACGATCACTACGAACAGAACAGTTTTGGCACAAGAACTTATTAACCACATAACCGGGATCGCAACACAGAGCACATCAGAGCACCCACAATATCCACCCAACGTTCAAAGAAACTGGGCTTATGGCGGCAACGGGCTACGGCCTGATGAAATCGGTTTGTCTCTCAAGATGCCAACGTAGGACAGTCATGTTAAAACCCAAAAACCTACCTGAGAACTCTCAGTGTCTCGTGCTGATGCTGTGATGAAGCTCAATTGACTAATCAATACTAGTGAGTGCTCAGTCTCTATCCGTCATGGTTTGCCAATGTCAGCAGTCATCAACCTCGCCTGCTCTAGCACACCGCCGAGCAAGACTTGTGCGATCTCCCCCATCAGGCCCTGGACGATGCAACGCGATGCATTTGAAATATTAAATGCCCTTAAAATACGTGTGTTAAAATGACAAAGGACCCACCTCTTGAGAATATGCCGTGACATTTCATGACCATATCACTAAATCTTGAGTTCCCAGAATGGTCAGAGGTCCAAACGCACCAGACTAAGCGGAGTCTAAGCGGGGCGAATGGCGCATCTCTGTTGGAATGTGAAAATGGGATGCCTTCGCAATGCCTTCAACCTGGCGCTTTCCTCCATTAATTAAACATCAATCCCTTAGTTTATTGCGTGATCTTTTCTTGATCTTTTCCGGATCTTTTCATTTCTATCTTGTGAATGCTGTCTGAGTACTTCGATTCATCCACCGAACAAGTCGGACCAGCGCTCCAGGCGCTCCATTGTCCTTTTTGGACTCAAAAGACGATTCGCTCCCGCGGCGTCCGAGGGGACGGATCCCGTCCGCTATGTACAGGGATGGAAGGCCTCAGATGAGAAATGATAGAAATAGTCAAATGATATCAAATGATGAATCAAAAAGCAAATGGTGAATCAAATGGTGAATCAAAAAGTTTGACTGCGACCAGTCAGTTTCATGGCATTCCATGGTATCTCTGATACAAAATCACAGGTCAAGGATGGTCAAGGATGGTCAAGGATGGTCAAGGATGGTGGACGTCAAAGACTGTGTGAAAAACGCACTTTACACGAAATGTTCTTCCCGGACCAAGCAACTGAACTCTCCGATGGCCATCCTGAGACGCAGCCAACAAGCGAAGTAATTTCCCAACTACTCCCAGGGGGCCCCAAATTGGCGATTCAAAAACGTGTCAACAAATGCTGCTAACATCATGGCAGGTTGAATTCTTGGCCCGTTTGACTTCCGTGCATTCACTGCTTCCATTTGGGCCTTTATTCGCCCCGAACGGACTGATCTCAGAAGTCCCGACTGTCCCAAGACCCTCTCATGATCTGCCGATATTGGACGTAGCTGAGCTGTAACAGTAACAGTAACAGTAACACACTAAATTGACAAAGTCTACCAAGATTGCTGACCACAAAAATATGGACGGATTGATACTAAAGGATACTAAAAACAGCTAGAATCTAAAATAAGCAATTTTGTCAATCCCATTTCAAAAAACGAAAAATCTGACCCACAGTATCACCATTGCCCCATGGCTATCCATGGCTATCCATGGCTCTTGACTTGTCATGGCTTGTCCAAGTTGCCGGTCGGGGCTGCAGCATTTCACGCAGCGCTCCAACGGTGAGTGGAGTCAGGGGCTCGCCCTCGTGGAAAAAGTCACAGCAATTTAAGCGGCTCTGATTTCGCTGATTTCACCAAAAAATGAATAAAAACAGTTTTTTCACTTAGAGATATTTACAAATTATATCAAATTATATATATATATTATATATATATAATTTGAATTAATTTGATATAATTTGACAATCTTGTTCAACATCTCACTTGGAATATGTAAAGGGATCGTTCTGCAGCATGGCATTGGCATTTGGCATGGCATTGCGGTGCATTCATAGAAACAGAAAGGTGGAAGGATCGAGTGGGGAGAGAAGCTGAAAATAGCTGAAACATGTTCACCGTCTGCCCACCTTAGGGCTCCCTTCGAAGTCCATAGAATTCAAATCTTTGCACAGCTCCTCCAAAACAAATCCAAAAACACTGCCATCACAGGAAATCCTGAGGATGTCATAGATTGTCATAGATTGTCATAGGACATCAAAGGAGCAAATTCGCAATGATGGTTTCGTTACAGTGTGCTGTTGATTCTGTTGATCCCTTTGCCACAGCTCGGTTGGTGAATTCGCCCTCAATTTACAGAATTTTGAGGAAAGGATGGTCCAGGATGGTCCAGGATGGTGAGGAATCCACGAGACACGGAGACACGATCCACGGCCCATCCTGCAGCTCGGGACTCAGGTGCTCGCAAGGCTCAGCATAGCGAAGCACGGTGGTCTTCAGCTGCTGTCGCCTTTGCGGCGTCAAAAAAGAGGACCAGTTCACCACACAGGCGCCAAGTCCTGGCGACGATGCCGAGTGGCTTGTGACCCATGACATTTCCCTGACGAAAAATAAAGAGACAAAACAAAAAGCGCGGAAGATAAGATGAAATATCATGAAAGGTCGCTCATGTATGATATTGTTATATAAGGAAGCTGCCACTCACTTTTGCTGCCATGTTTGGAGGTTGCATCATGCTTCAGCACGGTAGTTGTTGGCTGAAGGCTGAAATTCACCGTCTTTGAAAGCTGCTAGAGGGTTAGGGGGGGTGGGGGCTTGAGCCCCAGCAACGCCATGTTACTTCCTTACTTTCAAGGAAGCTGCCACTCACTTTTGCTGCCATGTTTGGAGGTTGCATCATGCTTCAGCACGGTAGTTGTTGGCTGAAGGCTGAAATTCACCGTCTCCCCCATCCTTTCCGGCGGTCTGCTCAAGGTCACCTGCAGCTTTCAAAAGGTAAAACCAAACCGTGGCTGGGATGCCTGTGTTGAGAAAAGCTGTGCAGCGCTCAATCAGGCTCGCATAGCCACCAGCATATAGTCGAATTAAATCCCGCGTTTCTGGCTCCAGTTTCTCTGCAAAAGTTGCGACCTGAACCTCCTGGATGTAGATATCCATGGTGCGCCAAGATGCCCAGCGTCCTCTCCTGCGCAGGATGTCTGGATTTTCAAGCTGATGCAAAAGCCAAGTGGCTCCTCCTGGTCGTAGACTCCCCAAATCGAAGGGAGCAATGCCGGGGAGCTTCTTGGTAGGCAGCTTGAGAGCCGTCAGCAGCAAACCAAAACGCTTCCTCAAGGTAGAAGCTGAAAAAGGCCAGATCTTCGTTGTAGGATCGCTGCTTCCGTACATCGCTGTCAGATAGGCAATCACATCTGCCTGATCAATTCTCGCTGCTTGATGCCGTGCCGCTCTGCCCCGTGTCTTCGGTTGACGAATGATCAGTAAAGCGAAGGTGGTGCCTGGCACGGCATCGACGGGCAACACCAATTCCCGCCTTGTGGCGGCGAGAACTTCTCCTATGCGGAGGATACCTGTCCAGCCCAGCAAGATCACTGCTGCTTCATGAGCCCATCCCCAGCAAAGTGCTACTGCTACCAGAGCTACCATGACACTGATAGGCATAGCAGGATGATGCTGGTGGGGCTCGTCCGAGAGCCACACGAAAGCAAGGTCCCAGGCTGCTGTTAATTGCCTCCGAATCAAGGGCCGCTCAACCGCGACAGCGTTGATCGTCTCGGCAAAAATTCCGTAGGCCCGACCTGCTATGTAAAGCTCTCGACCGTAGTCAATGAGAAAATCAGCAATGCGCTCGGGATCTGGAGGCTTCGACTCGATGAGCTCCCGAAGAGAAACACCCTTCTCTGAAAGCAGCCATGTTCGAAAACCATCCAGATATATCTTCCTTTTCTCGATTGTCTGCTGGCGAACCGCACGTGTGCAAACCAAATGATTCCCAGCCCGGGTCGCCGCTCTGGTCCTGTCAGCCGCTGAAGTTGGGGCCAAAGGCATGCAGCTTCCAGGGCTCCAGCAAAGAACCATGGCGCAGAGGCATCGAGTGAAAAACCTGATGGGGGGCCCGCCTTTACTATAAAGTTTTGGGGGGACCCTATTGCACCCAACCGCCCGGGGACCAGACACAGCACGACCAAAGAGGTTCAAGCACAGAACCGAAAGGACGAGACCAACCAGAAGAAAGGCACTCGGAAAAATCCATTGAGTGCTGAGCTGAAAAGTCCAGGGCAAGGGGCAAAATCCACAGGAGGTCCACAGAAGGGATCTGTCACAAAGAAGACAAGAACCCACGGAAACCTGATGTTGCTCGCCGAAGAGAGAAGCATCACAGCCTGTCGGAAAAATCACTAACAGGACCAGACGAACCCAGTTTGATGCAAACCTCCGGAGACCGAACAAACTCAAGGCACGAAGGACATCGAGAGGCGCACGGAAAACAGACAGCGCATGACCAAGAGGCGAACGCAGAACTTGATCACGAGTAGGGTCATCGGCACAGTTGAGACGTGTTGGGGTGTAAATCCATCCAGGGTATAAATCACGGGCAACACAGACAGCACAGGTACGCTTCAAGAGGGGCTGTAGGGCTCGGGCAGAAGACCTCCCTTTGCTCAGCGCTCCTTTGCAAACAGCAGAGTCCACAAGGCTGCAGAACCGGACAGAAGACTCAGACTCACTGACGGACACAAGGTTTGAAACTGTGGAAGACAATTCCAAAACGTTGATGTGGCCCTGACGCTTCCAAAACCAAGCACGGACAACTTCCCACTTGGACGACAACATCACATCATTTGAGAGGATCGTCTCATGGCCGGAGACTTCAGGTGCAAGGAGTTCCTCGGCTGTCAACCTCCGCAAGGCTAGTCTGAAAGCGGAGGCGATGTGCAGTGCAAGGCCATCAGTGTAAACAGCTGAGGGTTTGGTGTACGCGCCTTCAACCTTCACATGCGTGTGACCCCCCAGGCATCTACGGTCCAGGAACTCCGTGTCCAACAGGTAGCACAAAAACCGAAACTCCTTCCTATGGATGGATTGGAAGCGGCATGAGGCTATCACTGCTTCTTCAAAACCCTGGGAGCGAAGACTGATCCAAGCACTGAGCCAGGCCATTTTGCTAAGACGGCTTTGCTCAAGACCACAGGGACGACGATGCCTACGACCAACACGCAATAGAACCAGGGACCGAAAAGCCAAGATGTTGCCGTGCAATGTCTTTGGATTGAGCCGATCAAATCCAAGAGGCTCACGGTAGGACCTGACAGCTGGATGGGCAGCCGGGCTGAAACTGGTGCAAGGAGGCTCGATGAGGAATGCTCGGAAGCGGTTCTCTTCAATCATGTAAATGATCCACTCCAAAAACCGCAAAGAAGTCAAGTCATAGTGACGGGACTCGGACAGGTCAAGGTTCGGGGCACACACAAAACCCATGTCAGTCAAAGCTGCAGCAACCTTCCCAGCTCCGCCACAGATCTCAACAAAGTCAAAATACAGCAAGGGGGCCTTGGCTGGGTTTTCACAAAAGGCTTCAGGCATGGGTCCTTCATCTCCATCGAACTCACCTAACTGCCTCAGCAAAGCACGAAAAGGATGATCCAACTGCGTGTACGAACCCTTTCTGTCAGCGTCGAGCCACAAAGCTTCCTGAACATCCTGGGCAACAGGGGCTCTCACAATGGCACCTTTCCGGTTAGAGGCATCGGTTGCAAAATGGAACCAAGGTAATCAACAGCGATGTTGCTGGTGATCAACGGGGCAACAGCTGCAAGCATGACAAGCTCCTGAGCAACACTCCTAGGGAGGCTGAAGATCTGTTGAGGGTCATCCAAACATTTTGCCGACAAGAGGAAAAGACCATCAATCAGGGACGACCAGCACTTCCTGAACTGCAAAACCGAGACCCAGTTTCCCGCAAGTCGAGCACAGACACCAGATGAAAGGCCTGGCAAAAGAGCTGAACGGATGGACAACACGGACAGGGCCAAACGCTTAGCCAACGGTGATGCAACAGGCACAAATCCAAGCCGAACGCACTTCTGATTTGACCTGATCTCGGCTCCGGCTGCTTTCAGACAAGTCTCTGAGACCACGTCTTTTTCGGGCGACCCAAGGAGCTTTTCGGATGCATAGGCAGCATGGGCTCGGCGAAGTCCATCGGATGCAAAACTGCTACTGGCTGAAGCATGAAGGCGGTCGGCACTCAAGCAAAAATAGTCATCAATGACCAGAGCATCCCATCGGTCTCCGGCAGGGAAATTCCTGTGTCCCTCAACTCGGGTGCCAGGGAC